AAAAGGTTATATTAATCCTTATTCGCCTTTCCATGAAAGAGAGCATTCTCCCGCTTTTGATTTTTTGAAAGTTTATAATTAATTCGAGTTATTTATTCCAATTTTATTTGGAAAAAAAGTTTGTATTTACCTGTCGACTTCTTGACCTCTTCCAAAATTTGCTTGTAGGTTTTACACTACTCATTTTCTGATAAAATAGTATTAATTTTTTTTAATATAATATACAATAAAACTTACCCCTGCTTGACATGGAGAAACGGCTAATTTTCGTTATTAATTTTTTTGCTAAAATAAACAGATTTATACATATATTTTTTTTTTTTTGGTTTGCGGACCATGGTAATTAGGTGAATCTTCTAAAGATACCCTTTAAAGCCGACGATAAAGGGCATGCCCGATTCGTGCTGAAAAAACACGCCTACGGACTAAACACCCTGAAAATAAATCTGTTTTTATTTTAGGTACTGACAACATATTTAAATTTAAATACAATGATGAAGCAATGGAATGACTAAAATATTTCCCTCATACGGTAAACCTACACCTTTATTTTGCAAATCTACAAATTTAAACCTTTCCTCTAATGCTATGGTTTCCCTATTACTAAAACTATTACTAGTCCGATTGAGTTTATAGGTTCCTCATAAAAGCTTCCGATATTTAAAAGTCTTTTCCCTATAATAGCTCCTCCCTCATTTGCCGTAAACCCTGTCACAATAATTGGGATATTTCCATTAATAAAAAAAAAATTATCAGGTTCCTTTTCTGATAAAACAAAATTATTAAAAAAGCACTTACTACCCACTATCCTTGGATTTTTCTGTACTTTTATTTCCATTCTGTCTTCACTAATTTTTCTAAATTAGACACATTTTTTTAAAGCTTGTAAATAATTTTCAAACGCATACGAAGAGCCGGAAATCGGATCTCCGATTTGATCTACAGTCTCCTTTACGTGCAATAAACTGTGTACGTTATAAGACACGCTATTTTCACCGAATAAAATTTGAAAATTGTGAACAAAATGATCCAAAATGCGTTGACAAGTTTCCTTATTGTACTCACGGAGCTTAGAACTGCATAACATTCTATATGAGCAATGAAGTCACATAAACTCATAATAAAAGTCGTCACTGACTTCGTTTTTGAAGGCAATGATTCCCGTGTACAGCAAAAATTGTCTAAATTCCGTGGCCTTCCAGTTACAGAATTCATCTAAAGATCTAGGCCTACGCGCAAACTCTCTGGGAAAAAATTTTTTTAGGGACACTAGCTTTTCTGAAATGCGTTCTCTGGACTCTTTCGAATTTTTTGCTACTAACTTATTATTGACAAACCTTAACAACATCTTACGCATCACTCCTAACTCTACCAAATGCATGCAATCTAAGGGAATCTGTGTCACCATGGAAATGTTAATTTCTTCTAATATTGACCTACAATTTAAATACTGACTGCTATGATGACAAGGATATCTTCTAAGCGCAAAATCTTCATTGGTAATTAAAACTCCTGAAGTAGTACTATAGGTCAAAATTCTGTCTATCTTTCTGGCTATCTGTGTACATTTGGCGCACCCGTGACTAGATGTGTGTCCCGGGGTGCCGCTAATAAATGCTCTTGCTGGAGCATCGCAAACTACGGCCCTAATAACAATATTTATAGGTCTGCCACAAATGGATAGACCGCCATTCTTTAATTCTTTAAATTCTAAACCAAATTTTGCTAAAACTGCTCACAGCTATGGGGCTTACTTTTTCCTAAAAATATTCCAACTGGAAACCCTGGAACATTTGGAAAATTGTTGACTCTAACTAATACGGGCCATATCTGTGTCCTTAAACTTCTGAATAATGGAAGTCTATCAATATTTATATCAATATTTAGCTCTTCCATTATTTGAACATTCTGAAAATGGCGTTGAAGCTGCCAAGCTAGACCTATGTGAAGATAACACTAGTCAACACGATTTTTCCTCAAGGAACAAAACGAACTTTTTCTTAAAGATTTGGGGCTTAGAAATGGTTTGATGATATTTTTTTTTCTATGGCAGAACTTTTTTTTTGAAAAATTTTTGAAAACTGGTATTTTTTTTTTAAAGCTTTTTTCAGAGGTAGCGATAGTTTTTTTCACATAGTTCTAGTATCTTACGTCTGGTTGTAAAGAACTTTGCTATTTTGAAAAGATAATTAAAACAGCTAGAAGTTAAGCTCAAACACATTGTGATTACAGCTTACCGTCTGGGAAATATAAAGCATTGAAATGCAAAAATGATGATTTTTGTGCGGTATTTCTTACGAAATTTTGACTTTGAAAACTCAGGAAAAGTCGAAAAAAAATTATATCTTGTGTCCTCTATTTTTTTGTGTATAGGTGCCTTAATTTGGCGTCGATCAAGGTATCGCTCATTAAAATCTATGGAGAGACTTTGAAGCTAAAATTCGTTAACTAAACCTAAAAAATGAAAAAAATGAACAAAAAATACCTTTTCGATGGTTGCGGGCCCAACTGCCAATTGGGAACAAAGGAGCGCGATCAGCACATTCACGCGTTGGCCTATGTTTTATAAACCACTGCCTTAGTTTGTCATTTAATGACGATTTATTTGGTTGAATTTCTTCATAAAATAATTCTTCCTGTTCTATCTGTATTCCAGTTTCTTCTAATTCTTTTTCTACCAATTTTTGTTCCACTTTTATTTCACTGCACGACGCTAACTTTTCAAGGTTCGATTCCCTCTCACACTTTCGGAGTCTACGCAAATGCCGTTTGCTCATCATTTTGTTCAAAATATGTAATATCTTGTCACGTACCTGTTGTATGGCGTTTAATTTATTAATTTGAAGTGTTATTTCTCACTTTTTAATGAAATAATCGCAAAACAATTTCAAATGCTTCTTCCAGCAACTAGATCTAGCACAGAAGAGGAAAAAAATCAATGCACAAGGCATACGCGCGGAGAACAACTGCATTTTGTTTGTGTACTTTTTGTCTCTTACATTCCACGAGTGCATTCCAGTAAAGTATCACGCATAACTTACCATTTTGGTGCGAATTGCATGTAGCAGCATCAGTAAAAACTAACTGAGTCCGCACTGTAGTCTAACTCTTTTTTGCGGTTTCTTCATAATTCCACGGTTTTACGGTTATTTGTCGACTTCGAAAACAAAGCGAGGGCGGCTTCGTTTCTGTTTTTCTGTTTCGACTGGTCGCTGATCGCTTCCCGCGTAACTAGTTGCAGAACTAGTATATTGTATCCGACAAAGGCCTAGTCGCCGTTCGCTTCCCGCGTAACTAGTTGCATAACTAGTTGCGCGGTAATCGTCGCGGAGCTAGTTCGAGAGGGTAAATTCCCCCTTTGGTTCTACAGGGTATGTACATACTCTCTAAATACATGCAAATCTAGCTCTACTATGTCATACGGATGTGCCAAGAATTTAAAGCGAGGTGCACTTATTTTAGCACAAGACAGTAACTGCGAGCTTTTAATGATTTTGTCTTTATTCGAACTTTCAATTTTTTGTACAAATACCTCTAGTATGTATGTATATAATAAGATCCTGGGAATTCCACTTTCCTTGGCAGATGGCAAACGTCTTTAGGAATGGATATCCCTCGGCGGTTGAGATCTCTGGGTATTTTTTGCGTGTGTTATTCAATTTGTGTTTCACATATACTTTTCACCACTCGTATCAATGTCACTTTCTGCCTTTAAACTATACTAATTTGCGAGTCCACCCGGGGGCGCCATGAAATTTTAGAATTTTTTTTCTAAATTAAAATTTAACAACAAACAACCGAGTTTGGTGGCTGCAAATTCTGTATATTTTAACGAAAGACGGAAGACTCAAAAAAGGGACGTGCGCTCGATTTCAATATTAAATTTCGACTTCTTTTCATTTTCGTTATAAATATTCTTAAGCCTAACTTATCTAGGGCGGGGAAGCGGGGCGAATTCGCCAAGAGCGAGAGAGAGCTTTATTGCGCTCCCGCTTCGCCCTAAACTATCTTACACTAGACTTCATATTTTATAAAAATATAAAAATTAGCGTCGTGACGCGACAAAAACAAAAACGAGCAGCGAGCAGAGCAGAGAAAGTTTTTAAAATGTAATTTCGGTTCGCTGGCAAATAAATAAAATAAAATTGTGGCAAATCGAAAGTGAGTTCGGGAAATCAGATCTCTCGGACCAGGAACGCACCCAGGGATCAGGCCCCAGACCCAGACGCAAAAGCAGACATTAATGGAAATGGGAAAGGAATAAGCTCAAAAATGTATATACTGACTGAGTACTGACTGGGTATAAAAGTATATACGTTCCTTCTCGTTCTCTTTTACAGCCTTTCCGTAACATTTTTGGGGGATATTTTCCTGGGAATAAACCAACTCAAATTGAGTGGGGAGTTTTTTCAATTTAAATGTGTTTGACATCATATAAATGACCATATGTACATACATACATATGTATAAGAATGTGATCCTCTAGGATTATACTCTAGTATGCACTCAAAAGCTCGTAGCTCTAGCATTAATAGTGTTCAGAAGCCAGTGTTCAGGCTGGCTATAACATTAATATTAATAAAATTAATTATTATCATTACTAATTATTATTAATTAATAAAAATTATAAATATTTTTTTTATCAGTCTATTAAGTAGGATCCCTGTTTATTTTATCACGAATTTGCAGTTTTGTATCTAAAAAGTTGATATCTGCAGAATAAATCTTGGGAAAATGTTCCTTAAACATAACTATTTTTATACCCGTACTCAAAAAAGAGTTAAGGGGCATATAAGATTTGTGGTAAAAGTGTATGTGTCCAACGTAGAGAAGGAAACGTTTCCGAGCCCATAAAGTAAATTATATATTCTTGATCAGCATCTGGCTGGAGCAGGATTCCTTTGAAATTACAATCAGACACAGGGGGCACAAATGGGAGACACATTTCCCACACAACATTCACAGCATTCACAGCGTACACAACCCACACAAAACAGGAGAGACTTAAATTATTTTTTTTAATATTTTCTTTACGGATTCAATTTGTTTTCCGGGCAACGATCAATGGCAGAGCAACGGGACTGTATTTGGGCCCTTATGAAAAGATGCTGCCGATTCACTAAAAAGGGGGAGGAGAAAAAGTCCTTCGAGAAGCTGTGCCAGCTGTTCTGCCATCCCACCAAGAAGACATATCCCCTGCTGGCGTACCACAGCTATATGATCCGAAATAGTTATCCGGGGCCGCTGGTGACCTACGACAGGATGGCTCGCTGCGAGATGCGTCTTATGACCTTCTCGGATCTGACCGACAGCTACCTGACTTTGGTGTTCGATAAGCTTGCTGAGCAAGAGCGGCAAGAGAAGAAAAGAATCGGGTTGCAGAGGAAGAAGGGAAAAAGTTGTGCAGTGAAAAAGGAGAGCAAGTGCCGCAAAAAAAGATATCATAAGTGTACGCAAAAGCCGAAAAAGAGGGAAAGCTGCCCGACGAAAAAGAAGAGCAGTGCAGAGAAGAAGGCCAATCTACGGGCGATGATCAGGAGTGAAATTCGCGCCGAGAGGCTGTACGAGATGGAGCTAGGTAGGTGCCCTAAGGACGGGAAGCCTTGGCTGAGCCTCATGCCCAGACAGAAGCTGCCCCACCACTGCAGAGGGCACACCGGAGAGAGGCTGCGGGCCACCGCCTACTCCAACTTCCAGCAGAGCTTCGGGAGCCGTTTCAGGCAAATGCACCCGCGAGCCTGCCGCAAACGGGTGCGTGCCGAGACGCGTACCAGGTGGGACGCCCTGAAATGCGACCAGCGAGTGCGCTTCGTCATGATGGCCCTCTTCTACCATGTGAGCACTGGAGCCCTGGATCCCCTCGATAAGTGCGCTGTCGGGGCGATGTACAGAAAGCTGAAGGGCACGGATTAGCATGAGCATCTCGCCATTACCCATTACCCATCTCTCCATCATCCATTTCCCATTTTGCATTTCAATTTTCGATTTTCGATTTCGATTTCCAAATTTGCACATGGCCCATGGTCGGCTCCGTTGACATGGCCTTGGGGTTGGTGGCAGCCAAGGTCGTCGTTCCCCACCCCAGCCCATTGGGTCTCCCGATCGAATCAATTTTCGATGCGCGTAAATTAGCCATACAAATCTGTTGTACAAATAAAACAAAAAGCAAACGAGCAGCGAGCAGAGCAGAGAAAGTTTTTCAAATGTAATTTCGGTTCGCTGGCAAATAAATAAAATAAAATTGTGGCAAATCGAAAGTGAGTTCGGGAAATCAGATCTCTCGAACCAGGAACGCACCCAGGGATCAGGCCCCAGACCCAGAAGCAGAAGCAGACACTATGCTAATGGAAATGGGGAAGGAATAAGCTCAAAAATGTATATACTGACTGGGTATAAAAGTACATACGTTCCTTCTCGTTCTCTTTTACAGCCTTTCCGTAACATTTTTGGGGGATATTTTCATGGGAATAAACCAACTCAAATTGAGTGGGGAGTTTTTTCAATTTAAATGTGTGTGGCATCATATAAATGCCCATATGTACATACATACATATGTATAAGAATGTGATCCTCTAGGATTATACTCTAGTATGCACTCAAAAGCTCGTAGCTCTAGCATTAATAGTGTTCAGAAGCCAGTGTTCATGCTGGCTATAACATTAATATTAATAAAATTAATTATTATCATTACTAATTTTATTAATTAATAAAAATTATAAATATTTTTTTATCAGTCTATTAAGTAGGATCCCTGTTTATTTGATCCCGAATTTGCAGTTTTGTATCTAAAAAGTTGATATCTGCAGAATAAATCTTGGGAAAATGTTCCTTAAACATAACTATTTTTTATACCCGTACTCAAAAAAGAGTTAAGGGGCATATAAGATTTGTGGTAAAAGTGTATGTGTCCAACGTAGAGAAGGAAACGTTTCCGAGCCCATAAAGTAAATTATATATTCTTGATCAGCATCTGGCTGGAGCAGGATTCCTTTGAAATTACAATCAGACACAGGGGCACAAATGGGAGACACATTTCCACAAAACATTCACAGCATTCACAGCGTACACAACCCACACAAAACAGGAGAGACTTAAATTATTTTTTTTTAAATATTTTCTTTACGGATTCAATTTGTTTTCCGGGCAACGATCAATGGCAGAGCAACGGGACTGTATTTGGGCCCTTATGAAAAGATGCTGCCGATTCACTAAAAAAGGGGAGGAGAAAAAGTCCTTCGAGAAGCTGTGCCAGCTGTTCTGCCATCCCACCAAGAAGACATATCCCCTGCTGGCGTACCACAGCTATATGATCCGAAATAGTTATCCGGGGCCGCTGGTGACCTACGACAGGATGGCTCGCTGCGAGATGCGTCTTATGACCTTCTCGGATCTGACCGACAGCTACCTGACTTTGGTGTTCGATAAGCTTGCTGAGCAAGAGAAGAAAAGAATCGGGTTGCAGAGGAAGAAGGGAAAAAGTTGTGCAGTGAAAAAGGAGAGCAAGTGCCGCAAAAAAAGATATCATAAGTGTACGCAAAAGCCGAAAAAGAGGGAAAGCTGCCCGACGAAAAAGAAGAGCAGTGCAGAGAAGAAGGCCAATCTACGGGCGATGATCAGGAGTGAAATTCGCGCCGAGAGGCTGTACGAGATGGAGCTAGGTAGGTGCCCTAAGGACGGGAAGCCTTGGCTGAGCCTCATGCCCAGACGGAAGCTGCCCCACCACTGCAGAGGGCACACCGGAGAGAGGCTGCGGGCCACCGCCTACTCCAACTTCCAGCAGAGCTTCGGGAGCCGTTTCAGGCAAATGCACCCGCGAGCCTGCCGCAAACGAGTGCGTGCCGAGACGCGTACCAGGTGGGACGCCCTGAAATGCGACCAGCGAGTGCGCTTCGTCATGATGGCCCTCTTCTACCATGTGAGCACTGGAGCCCTGGATCCCCTCGATAAGTGCGCTGTCGGGGCGATGTACAGAAAGCTGAAGGGCACGGATTAGCATGAGCATCTCGCCATTACCCATTACCCATCTCTCCATCATCCATTTCCCATTTTGCATTTCAATTTTCGATTTTCGATTTCGATTTCCAAATTTGCACATGGCCCATGGTCGGCTCCGTTGACATGGCCTTGGGGTTGGAGGCACTTGATTAACAATTAGCGATTCACGATTCATGATTCGCAATTCGCGGGAAGACAGCCAAGGTCGTCGTTCCCCACCCCAGCCCATTGGGTCTCCCGATCGAATCAATTTTCGATGCGCCTAAATTAGCCATACAAATCTGTTGTACAAATAAAACAAAAAGCAAACGAGCAGCGAGCAGAGCAGAGAAAGTTTTTCAAATGTAATTTCGGTTCGCTGGCAAATAAATAAAATAAAATTGTGGCAAATCGAAAGTTAGTTCGGGAAATCAGATCTCTCGAACCAGGAACGCACCCAGGGATCAGGCCTCAGACCCAGAAGCAGAAGCAGACACTATGCTAATGGAAATGGGGAAGGAATAAGCTCAAAAATGTATATACTGACTGGGTATAAAAGTACATACGTTCCTTCTCGTTCTCTTTTACAGCCTTTCCGTAACATTTTTGGGGGATATTTTCCTGGGAATAAACCAACTCAAATTGAGTGGGGAGTTTTTTCAATTTAAATGTGTGTGGCATCATATAAATGCCCATATGTACATACATACATATGTATAAGAATGTGATCCTCTAGGATTATACTCTAGTATGCACTCAAAAGCTCGTAGCTCTAGCATTAATAGTGTTCAGAAGCCAGTGTTCATGCTGGCTATAACATTAATATTAATAAAATTAATTATTATCATTACTAATTTTATTAATTAATAAAAATTATAAATATTTTTTTATCAGTCTATTAAGTAGGATCCCTGTTTATTTGATCCCGAATTTGCAGTTTTGTATCTAAAAAGTTGATATCTGCAGAATAAATCTTGGGAAAATGTTCCTTAAACATAACTATTTTTTATACCCGTACTCAAAAAAGAGTTAAGGGCCTATAAGATTTGTGGTAAAAGTGTATGTGTCCAACGTAGAGAAGGAAACGTTTCCGAGCCCATAAAGTAAATTATATATTCTTGATCAGCATCTGGCTGGAGCAGGATTCCTTTGAAATTACAATCAGACACAGGGGCACAAATGGGAGACACATTTCCACACAACATTCACAGCATTCACAGCGTACACAACCCACACAAAACAGGAGAGACTTAAATTATTTTTTTTTAAATATTTTCTTTACGGATTCAATTTGTTTTCCGGGCAACAATCAATGGCAGAGCAACGGGACTGTATTTGGGCCCTTATGAAAAGATGCTGCCGATTCACTAAAAAGGGGGAGGAGAAAAAGTCCTTCGAGAAGCTGTGCCAGCTGTTCTGCCATCCCACCAAGAAGACATATCCCCTGCTGGCGTACCACAGCTATATGATCCGAAATAGTTATCCGGGGCCGCTGGTGACCTACGACAGGATGGCTCGCTGCGAGATGCGTCTCATGACCTTCTCGGATCTGACCGACAGCTACCTGACTTTGGTGTTCGATAAGCTTGCTGAGCAAGAGAGGCAAGAGAAGAAAAGAATCGGGTTGCAGAGGAAGAAGGGAAAAAGTTGTGCAGTGAAAAAGGAGAGCAAGTGCCGCAAAAAAAGATATCATAAGTGTACGCAAAAGCCGAAAAAGAGGGAAAGCTGCCCGACGAAAAAGAAGAGCAGTGCAGAGAAGAAGGCCAATCTACGGGCGATGATCAGGAGTGAAATTCGCGCCGAGAGGCTGTACGAGATGGAGCTAGGTAGGTGCCCTAAGGACGGGAAGCCTTGGCTGAGCCTCATGCCCAGACAGAAGCTGCCCCACCACTGCAGAGGGCACACCGGAGAGAGGCTGCGGGCCACCGCCTACTCCAACTTCCAGCAGAGCTTCGGGAGCCGTTTCAGGCAAATGCACCCGCGAGCCTGCCGCAAACGAGTGCGTGCCGAGACGCGTACCAGGTGGGACGCCCTGAAATGCGACCAGCGAGTGCGCTTCGTCATGATGGCCCTCTTCTACCATGTGAGCACTGGAGCCCTGGATCCCCTCGATAAGTGCGCTGTCGGGGCGATGTACAGAAAACTGAAGGGCACGGATTAGCATGAGCATCTCGCCATTACCCTTTACCCATTACCCATCTCTCCATCATCCATTTCGCATTTTGCATTTCAATTTTCGATTTTCGATTTCGATTTCCAAATTTGCACATGGCCCATGGTCGGCTCCGTTGACATGGCCTTGGGGTTGGTGGCAGCCAAGGTCGTCGTTCCCCACCCCAGCCCATTGGGTCTCCCGATCGAATCAATTTTCGATGCGCGTAAATTAGCCATAAAAATCTGTTGTACAAATAAAACAAAAAGCAAACGAGCAGCGAGCAGAGCAGAGAAGGTTTTTCAAATGTAATTTCGGTTCGCTGGCAAATAAATAAAATAAAATTGTGGCAAATCGAAAGTGAGTTCGGGAAATCAGATCTCTCGAACCAGGAACGCACCCAGGGATCAGGCCCCAGACCCAGGAGCAGAAGCAGACACTATGCTAATGGAAATGGGGAAGGAACAAGCTCAAAAATGTATATACTGACTGGGTATAAAAGTACATACGTTCCTTCTCGTTCTCTTTTACAGCCTTTCCGTAACATTTTTGGGGGATATTTTCCTGGGAATAAACCAACTCAAATTGAGTGGGGAGTTTTTATACCCGTACTCAAAAAAGAGTTAAGGGGTATATTAGATTTGTGGTAAAAGTGGATGTGTGTAACGCAGAGAAGGAAAATTTTTCGACCCCATAAAGTATATATATTCTTGATCAGCATCAATAGCCGAGTCGATATAGCCATGTCTGTCTGTCCGTCCGTCCGTCCGTCCGTCCGTCTTGTTGAGCGCCTGGATCTCAGAGACTATAAGAGTTAGGGTAACCAAATTTGGTTTCCAGACTCATGTGATATCACACTGCTACAAGTGTATTTCAAAATTTCGCCCCGCCTCCTTCCGCCCCCACAAAGGACGAAAATCTGTGGCAGGCACAATTTTAAAGATACGATAAAACTAAAAGCGCAGTATCGTAGAGAATGCCCATATCTACCAGATTGCCAAATCTGAATCAGATCGGATTATAATTATAGCCAGAATGAAGAAATTAATTTTCTGTTGCTTCCCCTGCCCCCCCTCCAGCCAACGAAAACGCAACTCATTTTCCATCTCGCTCGCACACTCTGCCGCGTTCAGTGCGCGAGCAACCCCTAGCGGAGGATATGTAGAATATGAATGGTACATCTATAATCTACATGTTAGATGTAAAATATACATTGTAGATGTAGATAGCAGATGTAGCAAAAAAATGTAACATGTAAAAAAGCTAAAAAAAATATAAGCTGCGGTCGGGTGGCCCCGCTCCCGTTCCTTCTCGTTTTTTTCTAAAATTCTTAAAAATCATAAGCTCAAAAATGTATATACTGACTGAGTACGGGTATAAGTAGAGTCGCGTCCCCAGAAGCGACTCACACGTTCCTTCTCGTTTCAATTTAAATGTGTGTGACATCATATAAAT